CACCTTTTTTTTTTCTCTCCTTTTGCTGGAGCATGGAAGTTTGGCGCAAAGTTTAGTGCACAATTAGATTAATGTTTTAATTATTAAATGAAAAATTCAACACTTAAACTTTTGCCCAAAACGCTCAAGTCAACGTTTCAACTAATAAGTAACAAATTCTAAAGGTTAGCATACGCTATACTTACTACTAAATTAAAATTGGAAATACAAATATAGCATTTTATTGGAAAATAATCTTCTTACCCAAATACTAATTTTTGGCTTTGACATGATAATTAATTTGGTAATGCATTGGAATACAGGCTTTTCTATATTTCTTTAGTTTTTTTTCCCCCCTTTCGAAGTAAAGAAAGCTCGCTTTCAAATAGCTTGACTAGTTGCTAGATTTTCAACTTGGTTGATAATTAGTAGAATTTAATAAATGCTCCATTACTGGTTCTCTGCATGTAGACTGTAACTTTATCTAGTAAGAAAAGGTATATAATTATCCATTTAATTAAATTATATCCCGTTCATTTCGCTGATTCAAGTTTAAAATTCGAGTTTTACTACAGTAAAAAACTCTCATAAACAATCACATTTAACTTTTTTGCTACAGTAAAAAACTCTCATATAAAATCACATCTCAATTCGAATTAAAAACTCAAATCGGCGAAGTGAACGGACATTTCTCATGAACCAGAACCCACATGATTTATCTCAAAGGAAAGTGGAATGCACATAAGTGTTGTTACTTTAAGGCCCGTTTAGTTTGTTAATTTGAGTTTTTAATTTAAGTTGAGATGTAATTTTATGTGAGAGTTTTTTACTGTAGCAAAAAATGTAACTGTTTCTAAGTGCTTTTTACTGTAGCAAAACTTGAATTTTAAATTCAAATCGGTGAAATGAACGGACCTTAGAATCTTTGATCCTTCGGATTCGAGTTTTTAATTTAAATTAAGATGTAATTTTATGTAAAAAAATTTCACTATAATAAAAAAAATTAAATGTGATTATTTATTAGAACTTTTAACTGTAATAAAATTAAAATTAAAAATTTGAATTGATAAAATAAATGAGACCTTTAATGTATCTTATTTTGGCAATCTGTATTCATCTCACTTAGCCGTCCATGCAACCTCAATGTCAGAGCTTTTAGATTAACAAAAATAAAGAAAGAAGCAAACAAACCGGAGCCCGTTTGGTTCATGAATTATAATTATGAGATTAAAATTATTTTTGATTTATATGTATTTTTTATGAGAAAAAATACTATAGTGAATCATGAACTATGATTCAAATCAGAGAACGAATCCTCCGACCAAATAGGCTCCTTAAAAAAAATAATAATAATAACCCTGAATATCCTTTCAAAGAAATAAATTAAGGCCCCGTTTATTTTGACGATTCGAGTTTAAAATTTAAATTTTATTACAGTAAAAAGTTCTTAAAAATAATTATATTTAATTTTTTTATTACAATAATAAAATTTTCACATAACGTCACATCTTAACTCAAATTAAAAACTTAAATAAGTAAACTATACGGGTATGAAATAGAAAAAGTCTCTTAAGTTGATGCAAAGCAAACCATTCATGAAAAGAATGGAATATGGATCAACTTTCTGACGCAGTGTCGAGGGTCCAAGAATCAAGGTGCTTTTTCCATACTGGGCTCACAGACTCGTACAGTGGCTAGAGAAAATTATATAAATTATTTTGAAGAATCGTCTTAATTTTTATTTTTTATTTTTAATAAATATTTTGTTATTAATATAATTATTTATAGGATGTTTGTTTCATATATTTTTTTTTAATTTTAAATTAAGATTCTAGAAACTTGGGTGAGTTAGATACAGAGCATCGTCTTATTAGTAAATACAACGACCAAAAAAAAACATTATTAACGAAAGAAATTGAAATATGTTATAAACAAAAAAAAATTAAAACCGTTATAATAAATTATTAAGTAATTATATAGATAGCATAAAATGTAAAAATTACTACGGCATTGATGCAGTAGAAAAGATAATAACGGAATTTTATCGACCTAATTCGGACGATGGAACATATAATTTCTATCTACTTAAAAAAATCTAACAAGGCAAAAATTTTTCAATTGGAGAAAAAACTCAAATCTAATATTTAATTTTCAATTATCCAAGTCTCTCTAATACCATAGTTAAGTGGTTATTTATAATCCATTCACAAAAAAAAAAAAAAAAATACAAATTAAAAAAGTGACAAACTAATAACAAAACTAAGTTAAATTAGAAAGCTATAACTAACGGCAATATAATATAAAAAAGACTATTTTTATGTAGAACTCCTACATCAAGCATATAATGTAATTTTCAGTATTGATTTCATAAAAAAATTTCCTGAACTATCTATCCTAGTTTAACATGCCTTTCAGATAGATTTTGTAGCTCCTACAAGTGATTATCAGAAAATTTAGTAACAACCTTCTTCATAAAAAAAGTTCGATAAACCTATTCTATTGAATTGAAAGGTAACTTTCACAGTTATAAACACAAAATTCAACCATTTTTCACATAAATCTTGACAAGTTAAAAATTTTAGGGCCTGTTTGGCAACCCCTTTTTTGAATTAAAAATTTAAAAAAAGCAACTCGAGTTATAACTTTATTCAAGTTCATGTTCTTTTAAGTTTAAACTCGAGTTTGAGACTAAAACTCGAGTTCAAGTTTCCCCTTCAACTCGAGTTCAGAAACTCGAACTCAAATTAATGAACAATATTTTTTCTATTCTTAAAAATTCTATAACTTTTTCGTTTTAATTTTGATTGATATGATTTTTTTTTCTATGCGTTGACAACGAAAAGACGAATAAAACTTCACCCATATACCCTATTAAAAATTTCCATCAACATTGTGTTTTTATTAAAATACTATCTAAATACAAATTCAAGTTTTGACTCACTCAAACACAAACTCAAAAAGATTATTATCTCAAATCATAACTCAAATGTACACAACTAGACACAAACTCAAGTTACAACTTCAACTCAAGTTATAACTCAAACTCAACCCAAAATCTACACTCAATTCACCTAACTCAAAAAGGGTAAAAGAACAGCCCCTTAAATTTTTAGCTTTTAAAAGTACTCCTCAAAGAGCACAACATGTACTTAAGTTACTGGGGGTTGTTCTTTTGTATTTTTGAGTTATGGTGATTTGAGTGATGATCTTAAATTGAGTTTGAGTTATAACTTGAGTTGAAGTTGTAACTTGAGTTTGTGTTTAGATGTGCACATGGCTCCGTTCACTTCGCTAATTCGAGTTTAGAATTCGAGTTGAGATGTGATTTTATATGAGAGCTTTTTACTGTAGGAAAAAAGTTAGATGTGATTATTTGTGAGAGCTTTTTACTGTAGAAAAACTCAAATTCTAAACTCGAATCAACGAAGTGAACGGGGCCGAGTTATGATTTGAATTGAGAATCTATTTGAGTTTGTGTTTAAGTGAATCAAAACTTAAATTTGTATTTAGATAATATTTTAATAAAAATTCAATGGTGATGAAAAATTTTAATAGGGTATATGGGTGGGGTTCTATTCGTATTTTTGTTGTGAATGCATAGAAAAAAAATTATCTCAATTATAATTAAAACGAAAAAGTTATGACATTTTTAATAATAGAAAAAATAATGTTCATTAACTTGAGTTCGAGTTTATGAACTCAAGTTAAAAGGGAAATTTAAACTCGAACTTAGCTTTAAACTCGAGTTCAAATTCAATTTTTATAAATAAACAAAAAACTTAAATTTAAATAAAATTGTAACTCAAATTATAAAAAGTGTCCAATAAGCTTGTTAACATTCAAATGTCCAATTCCTTTTTAGTTATCGGGACACTTGAAGTAGAAGGAACACCCAACTGCTTTTTCTCTTTATTTTCACTTGTAAAATCAACCCACCAAACTCGATCAAGAACCTTTAAAAAAAAAATTTTTAAATTCTAGATTTTTTTCCGGGTCAATCTTCCTAGCTGGGACCCTCACAGATTTTCAAAACGCTGCCGTATTGACTTGCCCCTTCAGTCGAGTGTCCATGTTCCAATAACTGTTTTATGTAGATTAATGTTAGGTTGGATGATAACTTTTTTTTTTTCTTTGTTTTTTTTTTTGTTCTCTCTCTCTCTCTCAAAATTTTTGGAGGGACTGACCGTTAGGTTAGTTAGAAGCAAAAGTTCAGAAGTTTTGAAAGATAGTTACGCCAACCGGGCATTCAACTCTAGGTCTCTTTTAACTCTCAACACACAACGAAAAATAACAATTAACAATAATAATATTGATCAGTCAAGAAAAAGAAACCGTTGAAAAATGGCGCGACCAAAATGTAGATAACAAGATCCCGTTCATTTCGCCGATTCGAGTTTTGTTACAGTAAAAAGCTCTTAGAAACAGTCACATATAACTTTTTTGATAGAGTAAAAAGCTCTCACATAAAGTCATATCTCAACTCAAATTAAAAACTCGAATCAGCAAACTAAACAGACCCTAAGATTGCAAAGAGGAAGATATTACTATCTGCCTCTTCAGCTAGTAGACTAGTACGTAGTAGTACAAGTGCCAACCAACGGTCAGCTACCAAATGATCATTTAGATATATGTTCATATCAATGTACTCTCTTTTTATACTTCCCGCTTCTTCACCCACCTTCCTTGCAATACGAATCCCAAACCCGAACCGCCTTCATCGGAGGAGGAAGGAAAAGAGGCGGCTGATCTCTCACTTCTGCTTCTCCAATTCTTGGAGTACTCCTTCATACCTCAAAAGACTTGCATTACAAGTAAGTAAGATACTTTTTTTATAAAAAAAAAAAATTTTTGTAACTGCTTATGTATTTGGATTGAATCTGGTTAATTTCTTAAGGCACTTTTGGTCAAGTCCACCACTAAACATAATTGTGTCAAATGGTGCATTTGAGTCCCAAACTATCTGCCTGATGTTAATGAGAAATATTTTATTGGATCAAAGTATAGGTTTTGAAGACTGAATCATGGCTGAGGATCTGGATAAGCCATTGTTGGATCCCGAGAATTTCAATCGGGAAGGAATCGATTTGGTCAGTTTTTGCAACTATGATACTTCCATGACAAAATTTTTGACAAATTTTGTGGCCCATAACAATTTCTGTGCATAATGATGCAATAGGAACGGTTGCCCTTGGAAGAAGTTTTTGAACAATTAAGAACATCAAGGGAAGGACTTTCATCCGAAGATGCTGAAGCAAGATTGATGATTTTTGGCCCCAATAAGCTTGAAGAGAAGCCAGTAAGTACTAAACTACAATTCATCTTTGAAAGCTGTTGTTTAAAGAATCTGGCATCTTGATTCCAAATCATTATATGGCTACAAAAAATGATATAATTACCGTTCAAAAGATGAAAGTGCCAAGCTTTTGCCAAGAATTTTAAGTGGAACTGTTAAGGACGATGAGTTTGTCAATTTAATCATTAAGAATAAGATTTTTTTTTTCTCAATGTTATACTTTTAGTACTGGTTCCCAATCAAGAAAATGACGAGGAAAGTTGTAGTTGAAGAGTTCCATATTAATTAGATCATCTTGCTTCAGAAATCCAAAGTGCTCGGATTAATGGAATGCTACGAACAAATTTGATTTTGCTAAATCGATAAAATAGAATTGTTTAAATTCTGAAAAGTATAACCCATTGATGCAATTCCCAACTCTGTGAAATTTAAATGCAGGAGGACAAATTTCTGAAATTTCTTGGTTTTATGTGGAATCCATTATCATGGGTCATGGAAGCTGCAGCTGTGATTGCAATTGTCCTTGCTAATGGTGGAGTGAGTAGACTCACTCCTTGCAAGCCCTTTTCACTTCAGATATCACATTATACTCCACCAAAAAGAAATTCTAAACATGTCTATTCCAAAATGAAAGTTTTTCTCTTGTTAATAATGAAATGAGATCTCAGGAACAAGGTCCAGATTGGCAAGACTTTGCGGGGATTGTTTGCTTGCTAATAATCAATTCCACAATCAGTTTTATTGAAGAAAACAATGCTGGGAATGCTGCCGCAGCCCTTATGGCTCGCTTAGCTCTGAAGACAAAGGTAAGCCTTGTTTAACACAACCGTTCATCTTGGAGATTATTGATACAAAGATGCAGATCAATTCACATTTCTTGAGACAGGTTCACAGAGATGGTCAGTGGCAGGGGGAAGATGCAGCTGTTTTAGTACCTGGAGATATTATTAGCATAAAGCTCGGGGATATCGTTCCTGCTGAAAACTGCTGATGCCCGCCTGCTCGAAGGGGATCCATTGAAAATCGACCAGGCAAGCAGTGGCCGTGTGAAATTTCAACTTTTACACCTAAAATTTTTAACAACTTCAGTTTCACCCCCATGTTATAACCAAAATTCAATTTATGGCCCCGCTCAATAATTATCTCTTATTTTCTTTGATTGTGCCCCCATTCACAAAATATTTTGGCTCCGCCAATGCAGACAAGTTCTCAGAAACAGTGAAAGAACTATCGATTAATAAATGTTTAGCTACACATGATAGATATGCACAATCTTTTTATTACTTGATTGGTTAGATGAACTTCAGATGATAAGTACCAGAACTTGTCCTGTACAGTCAGCTCTTACTGGAGAATCTCTACCAGTCACCAAGAGAACAGGTGATCAAGTCTTTTCGGGTTCAACATGCAAGCATGGAGAGATTGAAGCTGTGGTTATAGCAACTGGAGTTCACTCTTTCTTTGGAAAAGCTGCACACTTGGTTGACTCCACTGAAGCTATAGGACATTTTCAGCAGGTCATTCTCAATATTTTCGTTTCCCATGAACCTACAGAAATAACCCCACTAACACAAATAGTAACAATAGTGACCTCTTTTTTTTTTTCTGCAGGTCCTTACATCCATTGGGAATTTCTGCATTTGTTCCATAGCTGTGGGAATGATTATTGAAATCATTGTGATGTTTCCCATACAGCACCGAACTTACAGGGACGGAATAAACAATCTTCTTGTTCTCCTAATTGGAGGAATACCTATTGCCATGCCCACAGTTTTGTCTGTAACACTTGCTATCGGTTCTCATCGACTCTCTCAACAGGTTCATCGCTTTACAGACATAGCACATTTTTTAGATTCTTACGGTATGAGCAAAAGATTTTGTTGCATCACTCACATTAATGCTACGAACTGGAATCAATGCATTTGGTTTCCTAGATTGTCTTCCTTGGATTAGTTTAGCTAAAATAAGCTTTAACTCCTGTGTATTTCCTGATAAACTAAGTCCACATGAAGAATAAAGTATCCAGAGTAAGACTTAGCAACTTTTTTAAAATGGAGTTTATTTGTTTTGTAAGGGTGCCATTACAAAAAGGATGACAGCAATTGAAGAAATGGCAGGCATGGACATTCTTTGCAGCGATAAAACTGGAACTTTGACTTTGAACCGCCTCACCGTTGACCAAAATCTTATTGAGGTACAGACGACAACTCAACTACATGACTGTAAAAGAAAGAAATCTCAACTTCAGCATTGCAATTCGAAGATGAATTCAGCAAAAAAAAATAAAAAAATGCGTTTTACTTCTGACCAAGTTATCCTGCAAGGATCACTTTAGTCCTTTTATTTCCTTATTTGTCCAAAAAGGGCTAATATTAGTATATTTATGGATGCATTTTGCAGGTCTTTAACAAAGACATGGACAAAGACACAATTGTGTTGCTTGCAGCTAGAGCATCAAGACTGGAGAACCAGGACGCTATTGATGCAGCCGTTATCAACATGCTTGCCGATCCAAAGGAGGTAGGCATAGAAAACATGTTAGTTTCGCAAGTACTACCGTTTTGTTCTTTTCTAGACACAAGCTAAAAGACATTTAAAAAAATAATAATTTTGCTAGGCACGTGCAAATATCACGGAAGTGCACTTTTTGCCCTTCAATCCAGTTGACAAGCGTACTGCAATTACATACATCGATCCTGATGGTAATTGGCACAGAGCCAGCAAAGGAGCTCCAGAACAGGTATCCAAAAGGTTACAACTTTTGGCACAAATTATCACTTTTGAAATATTTCAGAATTTTGTGTAAGAATCTGAAGTTCTATTCATTTTGGAGAAAAACAGATCCTAAATTTATGCCAAGAGAAAAATGAGATTGCTGGAAGAGTGCATGCCATCATAGACAAATTCGCCGAAAGGGGTTTGCGATCACTTGGAGTTGCTTATCAGGTATGTATAAATTTATGGTTTACCTTTCTCTGCATTTCTAATCCTGGTCTGGTTTTTGTCATAAATAAACCAGTTAGGCCTTTAGTCTCTTGTTGAGTTAACAGCTTAGAGGAACTTTATGTGTTTACCCTTGTTTATTTTTCTTACTTTCTTAGTTATATTTGAGTCTTCTCAGGAAGTTCTAGAAAAATCTAAGGAGGGTCCTGGAGGTCCTTGGACGTTTTGTGGACTGTTGCCCTTGTTTGATCCTCCAAGACATGATAGTGCTGAGACCATCCGTAGAGCTCTAAACCTTGGCGTCTGTGTTAAGATGATTACCGGTAATTAGGAACCAAGCGTCACCTTGTGCATAGTTCAGTGACTAACAGTGCTAATAACCCAACAGAAAATACTAATACATTAATTCTTGTGCTGATATAGGTGACCAATTGGCCATAGCAAAGGAGACGGGTAGAAGACTTGGGATGGGGACAAACATGTATCCATCGTCTTCATTGCTTGGTCGAGAGAAGGATGAACATGAAGCTCTGCCAGTGGATGAGCTCATTGAAAAGGCCGACGGCTTTGCTGGTGTATTCCCCGGTACTCCCATAGGACTTCTCAACAAGGAAAACAAAAAAGGAAGTTATTTCACTTACGTTTTCTATTCTTTGTTAAGGTATCTACTAATCCATGTGATCCTTTCTATACAAACATTCAGAACATAAGTACGAAATTGTGAAGATTTTACAAGAGAAGAAACACGTGGTGGGGATGACTGGAGATGGTGTAAATGATGCACCGGCTTTGAAGAAAGCAGATATTGGAATAGCAGTGGCTGATTCTACAGATGCTGCAAGAAGTGCTGCTGATATAGTCTTGACTGAGCCTGGCTTAAGCGTGATTGTCAGTGCAGTCTTAACTAGCCGAGCCATATTCCAAAGAATGAAGAATTATACGGTTGAGGATCAATCTTTTCATTTTGCAGATTAAATGACACTAATATCAAAATCAATATGCACAACCTGGCTACTCATGTGTTTAAGTCTTTTTTTTTTTTTCATTTTAATGCTGTAAATAATTGCTTTTGAACTGTTTCCGTAACAAACTAATTACCCTGCATATTTTGCAGATATATGCCGTCTCCATAACTATAAGGATTGTGGTAAGTTTGAATTAATTTCAACTTTTTAAATTTTTAGTTTCACTTTAATAGAATTTTGCACTAAGGATTGTCTGTTAGTGTCACATGGTTATCTACACTCAATCTTGCTGCAGCTTGGCTTCGCGCTCCTTGCATTGATTTGGGAGTATGACTTCCCACCTTTCATGGTTCTCATAATAGCAATACTAAACGATGGTAATGTTTCAATCCATTATGCTTCTCTGCACGTTTTTTGTTCAAATAATGAAGTTTGAATGAAAATGCTTTAGCCACAAAGTTTTACATAATCCTCTGACAGAGTGGATAAAAATGATCGAAGTGTTTCATGTTTCTGGTGGTTCTGAAGAAAAATGTATGTTTCTGAACAGGAACCATCATGACTATTTCCAAAGATCGGGTAAAGCCTTCTCTAAGGCCTGACAGTTGGAAACTCAACGAGATATTTGCAACCGGCATTGTCATTGGCACGTATCTTGCTCTTGTCACTGTGTTATTTTACTGGGTCGTAGTTGACACCGATTTCTTTGAGGTATAACACAAGAGTACCCCCATAAACACATTTTTTCTGCATTGTTTCATAACATGTCATGGGAAATCCTATTCCTACTTTAGTACTTAAACCATTTTTCCTACACTTTTAGACACACTTCCATGTTAGATCCTTGTCTGGGAATACCGAGGAAGTGTCATCAGCCATTTATCTTCAAGTTAGCATAATCAGCCAGGCTTTGATATTCGTCACGCGTAGTCAGAGTTGGTCTTTTCTAGAGAGGCCTGGAGTTCTTTTGATGTGTGCATTTGTGGTTGCCCAACTGGTAAGCCGTTGAAGCAGAAGTTGTTCAAGCATAAAACTCTGGTTTTTTTTTTTTTTAAGAGATATAATTAAAACCAAGAAGAATGACAAACGTTTTGTGTAACCATTTTTTTAGGCGGCAACCTCAGTTGCTGTCTATGCACATATAAGCTTTGCTTATATTAGAGGCATTGGATGGCGTTGGGCTGGAGTTATATGGTTATATAGTCTGATATTCTACTTACCTCTTGACATTATCAAGTTCACTGTTCGTTATGCATTGAGTGGAGAAGCTTGGAATCTATTATTTGATAGAAAGGTTAGTTGATCAGTACTACTACTTTTCTTTTGTTGCATGCAAATCTTGGTTCTTAATAAGATGACTCTTCTGATTTTTTTTTTTTTTTTTTGGGTGTTCAAAAGACTGCTTTTACTTCTAAGAAATACTATGGAAAGGAAGATCGGGCAGCTAAGTGGGTACTTTCTCAGAGAAGTCTCCAAGGGTTGATGTCTGTAGATTTGGAAGCCAATGGAAGGCGCAGCCGTAGATCTTCTCTGATCGCTGAACAAGCCATGCGCCGCGCTGAAATAGCCAGGTAAAACTACAAAAAGATTTCTCCAATTTTGGAAGTGTTTTAAGAGCTTTTCAATTAGTGTTTAGAACTATATCGTTGAAAGAGCTTAATGAAGAAAAAGAAAAACCAGAGATTTTTAAATATTACAACGTTGTGAAAATGTTAAAATGAAGTTCATAAAATCTTATTAAAACTCTACTAAAGTTCCAAACCAGATTGCAGGAAATCATGCCAAACTGGCCCTTAATGGGGTTTAAATGTTTAGTGATTATAAGATTGATGTATATAATTTGTTGAATTATACTTTGTATTATTTATCAGGTTGGGGGAGTTACACACTCTAAGAGGACATCTAGAGTCGGTAGTAAGGCTTAAAAATTTGGATTTGAATGTGATCCAATCAGCTCATACAGTCTAAAAAAATGTCTTGTGAACTAAGGACGAACATAGCAGCATTGCTGAGTAGAACATGACTGATGCTGTGCATATCTGCAAACGGAAATGCTTCTGGAGAGTTACCAGAGATGACAATGAGGATCTACGCGCTTCCTTGATTTTCGGGCTCGGAAGATAGCAATGTAATTTTTATTCATCCCAATTCTTAGCTCGTATTTTCAAATTTTTCATGCAAACCTGTACGGTCGATCATAAGCTTTTCAAAATGGGCTTTCTAGTTGTAGCAAATTTTTGTCAAGCAACTCCCAAATAAGGCCATGCAAAAAAAAAAATCGCTTAAAGGATACCAATATACGCTTTTTACTTAGAAATCCGCGGCAATTATAAGGGATGTTAGGGAAAGTATATATTTGGCCACCCACTGGCTGTAACTCGTAACCAATTAACTCGTTAAAATATTTGTTTTCTGTAACTATTTAGCAAGTCCCACATGTTTTCTAGAAACTCAGAGTTTGGATTTTAACTCTTTATAAAACACCCCACCCATCATATACAAGCAAGCTTTTGTCATTTTTTAAGTTGTCCAAAATTAGTAATTTTTTTAATTGAGTGGGGTAGGAAAAGCAAATAGTCTATCGTCGGATCTTTAAAACTATATAAATGTTTCAATCAACAAGTTAAAGATTTAAAAGGATAAAATATATTAGAAAATAACTTCCTAATCTAATACGTCACACAGATAGACACATGAATGCCTCATCGTGTCTACTTTTAATTGCAACATCTAACTCCCCAATTATTTTTGTATTTTGTGTCTTTGTTTTCATTTTTTATTTTGTATTTAATTGATGTTGTGTTTATTATAAGTGGCTTAAAAAAAGTCACAGTTTGATGTAGGAATTAGAATAGCAACTTTGTATATAAATTTTAATATTATGTTGACAATAAATAGGAAAAGATATTCTTTTACTCCGTGTTCATTGATTCTTACCATACATGCCAATAGGGAAACATGTACTTTTACCATCTTATTGTCACGAACTGCACATTTTTTTCTCGTTGTCATGTAAGTGACTCATTTAAAGGCTCTAAATTCTCTCGTGTATTCTTTAAATGTTAGAATCAAGCAGAATATTATGGAGCATCTTAAATAAATTAAGACATTTTAAAAGAAGAGTGAACTTTTTAGAATGTTTTACAATGTTTTAAAAGGTTCCACAATAGTCTGGAATGACCCTAGAAAGATCTATAACTCTTTGGAAGAACTCAGAAGCCATCGGAAGTCTCTAGAAGTTTCGAGAGTACTCTAAAACATTCTAGAAGCTTTAAGATACATGTAATGTACTAGTGGATTGTAGAAGTTTCTAGATATAAGTAGAATCTCCTACACTTGTACAAAAAAAAAAAAAGTATTCTAGAATGTTCTAGGCTTGACATCGTTCCACAAAGTTCTGAAATGTCCATTAGAAGGCCTCTGGCCTATAAATAGGATGAAAGGTCCTCATTTGGGACCAACCAAGAGAGCTACCACACTTTGTACTCATTTCTTGAGTTAGTAAACTTTCCTTCATTAAAGCTTCTATCTTTGTTCTCTTGCCATTTTCCTAGCCATTTGCTCAAGTTTTTGGGGTTAGTAAGGCTGATTTAGTATCGAGGAAGTGCTAAGTGCCGAACCATCGCGTTGTGAAAAGACTGGGCCGTGACATTATGCTAAAAAGTAATAACACACGTAATCGATAACAACAAATCAACAATTTACAATGCTTTTCACCAACAAAACCAATAAAGCAACACAGACAAACCAAACCGAAGAACATAAACAAATAAATTTATACAAGGAAGACTTGATGATTGCAAACTGCAAACCACATCGTACTAAGTTCACAACTATGACCTGAATTATTTGATAGAGATAAAAAGCTCAGAAAGAGGACATCTGAACGCCGCGTTCCCGCCCAAGCCTTGCGGAGTTTACATAACCTGTGGGGCAATGCGCAGAGGCACCAGGAAGTATGAGCCCCATCAGCCTTGCCACGGTGGAAAACTACCCTTCTTCATTGTTAGGATCCTAGTTGAGTCTCATATTATTAAAATATGGGCTTAGCATGTGGGTTTATAACCACTTGGGCACCCTCTTCCTACAAGCTAGCTTTTAGAGATGAGTTCTACCAAAGGGTTATAACAATTGGTATCAGAGCATGCTCCTCCTCAGGTCCACGTTGTGGAAGGGGCGACCTAGAAAGGCCAGAGTGGGCCATCCAGAGTGGGCCGTCGTGGACGTCGGTGTCGCAAGCGTAGTGGTATGTTAGGATCCTAGTTGAGTCCCACATTGCTAAAGTATGAACTTAGCATGTAAGTTTATAACCACTTGGACACCCTCTCTCTACAAACTAACTTTTGGGGATGAATTCTACCTAAGGGTTATAACATTCATATTCTGGCCCATACACATAGCCAATGATAAAACTTCTAATCAACTCCCAGATGGCATTCAGATGCACAGCTGCAGCAGATGTCAATCCAAAAAAGTTCTTGTTTGGTTCCTCCTTTACTTTCTGCAAATAAGCATACATCACAAAAGAAAACAGCTCAATGCTACACAAAATATCAGATTGAAATAAAGCGTATACAAACATTATTTGTATATTTCCTTTCATAGAGTTACTTATTAATAAAGGTTTAATAAAAATGTTTAAGTGAAATTACTTTTAAAGACAACAATATTAAAAATAAAAATAAAAATAAAACTCATTATACACCCTACAATTAAAAAAAACTATTACCTTCAGAAAATTATGGTGCCCTACTCTTTCAAAAAAAATAGGGATAAATTTCAACGTAAAAGAGTCTTTCTATAAAAAAGTACAGGTTAAATTTTTTTTTTTTGTTAATATCATAAATGGTCCTGAGGTTAATCTTTAACTCACTTTGGTCACTCACTTTTAAAACATTCCACAGTTAGTTTGTTTCTCGCATATTCTTCTGCTTCTTCTGCCTACTTTGGTGTTATAGACAAATTAAACTCAGAACAAGCAGATAAGCCTGATGAGCCAAAGGTGGCTTATTCTTTTTCACATGCGTCATCTACGAAGAGCCCTGAGAACCTGGAAGACTCTATCAGCTGGTTAAGAATGCCCTTTCTAAATTTCTACCATTCACTGAACAAGAACTTTTTGGATCTAGTGAGGAAGGACTTTTATCCTTTTCTGGATCTCGCAGTTTGGATCCATCTTTATATACAAAGGCTTTACATGCCAGTGTTTCTTGGAGAAGATGGTCCACTTGGGAAGGTGAAATATTCTGTGACTTGTTACTATGCAAAGCAGTTTGACGCCTTAAGGAGGATCTGCTGTCCTTCTGACCTTGATTTTGTTAGGTCTCTTAGTCGTTGTAAGAAGTGGGGAGCCCAAGGTGGCAAGAGCAATGTCTTTTTCGCGAAAACCTTGGATGACAGGTTTATTATCAAACAAGTCACAAAGACAGAGCTTGAATCTTTTATCAAATTTGCTCCCGAGTATTTCAAGTACCTGTCGGAATCAATTACCACCGGGAGCCCAACAAGGATTCTCGGGATCCATCAGGTAATCTTTTTCTTGGTCTTTGCATTTGGCACTCTCAAAGACTTCATACATAAACTTAAGTTTGTTGTTGGCTTTATTGACAGGTTACGTCAAGGCATCAAAAAGGAGGGAAAGAATCAAAGATGGATGTTCTGTTCATGGAGAATCCTCTGTTTGGAAGGAATGTGACACGACTGTATGATCTAACGGGATCTTCTCGGGTCAAGGTACAATAATGATCCTAGTGGGAGAAACAAAGTTCTGTTGGATCAGAATCTTATTGAAGCAATGCCTACATCTCCCATATTTCTTGGGACCAAAGCAAAACGCTTGCTAGAGAGAGCCGTCTGGAATGACACTGCTTTTCTTGCAGTAAGTTCTGAAACTCTTTTTTCTTGTCAGTAGTTTACTCTACATGCCCTTATAGTGTAGATTGTCCAGCATTCAAGTTGATCACATTCTTTTTAGCCATTTCTAGGGCCGGTTTAGTATTGCTTTTGGAGGTCCCAAAAGTCCTTTGCATACGGCAAGATGCAAGTAGTGTGTTTGATATAGATGCTTACAAGTGCTTTGCATAGATACAAATCCACTTTTATACTTTATTTGAGAAGCTAAGATTTTTAAAATTTTTTAACTTTTTAAGAAATGCAACTATCTGAACTAAGTCTTGATGTCAAATTGGCTTTCACTATGCAGTCTGTGAATGTAATGGATTACTCTCTGCTGGTTGGTTTTGATGAAGAGAAGCACGAGTTAGTTGTCGGGATAATTGATTTCATGAGGTAGTACACATAAGATAAGCGCCTTGAATCATGGGTGAAGATTTCTGGCATTCTTGGAGGGTCAAAGAACTCGCCTCCGACGGTTATTTCACCAATACAATATAAGAAGAGGTTTAGGAAAGCCATGACAACCTATTTTCTGATGGTCCCAGATCAGTGGTCTCCTCCACCTATGTTCCATAGTAAATCTCAGTCTGATTTAGGTGAAGAGAACTTGCAAGGCAGGACATCGGTCGACTGATGCCGCGAGTCCTTGATTGTACATTCATGCATTTATTTCGGGATTAATCTTCCGCCAGATGGCTTTCTTTTCTCATTCATTTACTTCCTTTATTATTGTTATTATTTTTCATACACCAATTCTTTGATATAGCAGTTTCATTTTTATTTTTGTCAAGAAAAGAAAGTCGTTATTATTTGTTGGAAGATGCAGAAGAAGGCTGTTGAAGCCAAGGAAATTCTTGTCAGAGGTACGAGTAATGGATGACCTCTCCATGAAATCCTTGTAGGAAAAGTAGAAAAGGAATATATTCATGTTTTCATGTAGATGTAGTCTATATCTGTCGTGTATATCTGCAACATGTATTTAGCTTTGTACGTTTTCAGCAGAGTATTCCGGTTGTTTATTGCAACATCCTGATCAATACATATAAGATTGGTTGAGTGTGTCAAATATATAT